TAAGCAGTCGCCTAAAGAGTAGACGTCGTCGTTAACGCCCCTCCGAAAGAAATTGGCATAAACAAAGACCCAAGGTTCCGGGATTGAGCTCTGAAAAAGAAAGTGAAAAGATAAAAGACCCCATTACGGATCTGACAATTGCTTTACAAGTATGCATGTAACATGGTCAACTAAGTAGGGAATATGTGTGCTCATCCCTCGCCCCAACGAGGATGGTGGATATCTATCATTTGAGATATGTGACGGGAATGTGAAGGTGCCATGGTTGATAACGCCAGAGCCCAAGTTGGGAGATCATTTATTTCAGCTCTGGGGGTCTTGAACTGGCTTGAATTGGCAGCAGTGTGCGCGGCAAAAATGAGTTGGGCCTGGATGCAGTGACCCCCATCGACTCCACCGGTCCTATAACCAAAAGATTTTAAGAACACCAGCTAAAGTTTTCCTATTGAAATATGTAGTCAAGACTAGACTTCTGACAATTGATGAGTAAGGTAATATGTCACAAAAGCTCTCGATCAGCAACTTAAAGTATGTGTTCTGAGTTTGCAACATTACCTGAAGACCTAGAAAAAGCCTAGAATAAATAACAAAACCCTTAATAAAAAAATATACAATACAGGAGACTAATCCGATTGGTAGGCTTATAAAATATTTGGGGCTTCTCACTGATTAGTTGATGTAGTCCTAATATCAGGTTGCGATGAGATAAACGGTGCTCGAAGTGTAACAGATGCGGTAATACCATTTTTTTATGCAAGGACTAATGCAAAAAGTCATGAAGGAACTAACAAGGACACAATAATCGGCTAATTTAGTTTTTATTGTACTACATGAGCCTACTACTATCCTGTTCATTGGGCTACCCTTCGAATCGAGCCAAACCTTGTCAAGTACTTCTATCCTCTTTTGATGTGATAATTTTTATTGTACTACTTGAGTCTTAGACTAACTAGCACATCAGGCTCCTTTCTGACCCAAGCCACACCTTGTACAGTGCCTCTTGCCACTTTTGTTACTTGAAAGATCATTGATATATTGCCCGTGATGAATTGTCATTCAGCTCAGTAGTTACCTATGGAGTTCAGCCACATTTTCCACGGAACCTTCTAACCAAAAAAACAATTAAAAATGGCAGCAATGGAAACTGCGTGTGCGGGAAAAAGTCTCAAAAAACCTGCAGGCCTAGACACCGGGACCACATGAGCTGCGCATATTCATCTATATCTGCCTTCTCTGTGACGTTCGAGGCCGACTTGATCCAATCCGCCATCTCCCTATCGGGTGCTGGGTACGCTCCGAAAACTCATCGGATGGCTTTTCCTCCATGATCAAGGGTTGGTGATGAGTAGGTCTCCGACCCTACCATCTGGTCTGATCGTGGTTAGCTTCATGATAATGGTGATAGGGGAATATGTTGAGAGATGAATACGATATAGACCGCGAAAGCGATTGGGAATCCTCGTCGAAGTGAAGACTTTGTTACTCAATCTTGGCTCTGCAGATTCTACAGTGAGAGCTGGAGGTTCGTAGGGGACACCACTGACAGGTGTTCAGAATATTCCCCTTGGTAATGGCAGTTGAAACTGGGTTCGCGGAAAAACTCCTTGAAATCCCAGCGAAACGAGTCCAAGACATCAGAGCTACAAGTGGTATATTTGTCCATCTACATCTTCTGCATGATAGAGGAGGCCAATTTGACCCCATGCACCACCGCCTTATTGGGAGCTGGGTATTCTTCGGAAACTCATCGGATAGCTTCACCTCCATGACCACGGAAAGTGAGTCAATAATGAGCAGGGCTTCGATTCTACTATCTGATATAATGATAGTTAGCTTCATGAAAATTGTGCGATGGGACTTTGCTGAGAGATGAAGACGACATTGATGGCAAGACTGCTAGTAATGCCGCGAATCTTCCTGGCTACCTCAGATATGCAGAGCATAGTGAGCGCTAACGCCTGCACTACTGCAGGGCGAATAATTCGTCATTTCAAACTAGATGATCGTTAGTACGAGGAAACTTGTAGACGTATTTTGTGGGTAATTCAAGCTGTTAAATGCTTGTGCCCCCGCATCTCATGGGTCGGCGCGCGAGTAGTTTCTTCTCGAACTGTCTTATTACCACCTTCATTTATTTTTTCATTCATTTTTTCATCCATCTTTTCTTCAGGAAGACGATCTATCTATCTTGCTAGCTCTCCATTCACAAGGCCTAGGTGTAACCTCTACTGCAACGATTTGCCTATTCAACGCTTCCTAGAGAAGACCAATCATTTATTTGGTCGTAATTCAAATCTAAATAGATGAATTCACACTTGGCAATCAAAAAATATTCGCCCCAATTTTGTAATCACTCAAGCATATTCACTTACATAGCTATGATACACGACCAGAGTGTTATGTACACATGTTAGATGACTTGTTTGACCTCAGAGACACTCATACTCTAGATTTCATTCGCAAATACCATTATGAGGTATATTTGCTCATGCAAACAGTTACCCTTCCTTCGTGAGTAACCACCAAAGAGGAATTCGAAGCCCTTGATTATCCAAGCATGCCTTCGTCATCGATGTATACCAGCGCCGCGAAAAATGTGTATGTGTTTTGCCGGATTCGAACCGGCGGTCTCCTGTCTCGTGTGGGATATGTATCCAAGCTATCTAGACTCTATTTGGAAGACCGGCCATGACGATTTACCACTGCACCATCCGACCGTGTTCATTGCTCTTCCGTCTGTAAAACTGCTAGCCAAATCCGAATTCTCAATCTCTTCTGGATGATTTCCGTTGTTCGCATCATCTTGTCCATTAGTTCTGTCCTCGGTTTCGTCCATTTCAAAGATATACCCCAAGATTTTGATAACACCATCTTTATCCTCCCGCGGGTATTCGTACTCTCGTGGACGCGTATTTGGTGGCCACCTGAGACCAGAGAGTAGTCGATGAGAGGAGTATTCATTGAAATGAAGATGTACTAGGTCGTACTTGTAGACTCTATGAGACTTAAGTGGGATCAGATTCGTTAAGACAGAAAATTTGACATGGTGGAGTATTTTGGATCATTGCCTCGTGGAACAACTTCTTTGGTATTGCGAAATTTGATTGGACTTGGATCGGGGTGAATAACTCACTCCTAGGTCTGTAGAGGACACCAAGGACATATGTTCAATTTTTGCCCTCCAAAACTGCCTTCTTGTTACGGTGCCTGCAGGTTGTCAATGAAGTCTAAGCTGTGAAGCCATCATCGGAAAGCAACTGTACCTGATCTCAAATGAATTTTAGCTTCGGGGATGTGAGACCTACTATGAGCATCGAGCATGAACTCGGAATGACCGTAATAAAATGAAACATTCTACGAGAATTTGGATAAACTAAGCCGGCAAGGACGAGTTCTTCACCATCCAACCGTGCCGGTGTCATCGCTCAGTGTGCTTGGCATTTCTGGGATAGCGAAGAAAGATTGCGTTCAAATCAAGGTCGAAAGAAAACACGAGCACATCTAGAACCGACAATCTCTCATCTTCTTAGTTGCTATTCTTCGCTCAGAAGTCCTCCATCTCAATCTTACCATGAACCACCACGGCTCAACGACCGATCAAGGAGCTTGCCACACAAATCTCCGGCCATCTCCCATTACCGAGACTTCCAGCCGGGACGTATAATGAGAGTGGGAAGAACCCGTTAATGAGAAGGGTGGCAATGGCATTTTTCGACAAGTTTTCGATTCTGGTGTCTTTGTGGGCGCCAAGACCAAGAATTCGGATAGTGCTACCGACAATCTTGCAGCAGGCAAGGATGGAAGGTGTGATCCGCCTCACCAAGTTAGAGTCTGGGTATGTGTGTTTTATTGTACTACTTGAGTCTATGACTATCTAGCACTAGAGTCTGGGTAGCCTGGACACCCACCTCACTCAAAAAAGAGAAGACTTTGAGGCCGTATCTCGCGCGGTGATTGCGTACAGGATAGCAGAGATATGATAGGGTATCCAGAGGTTTTTTCTGCTTTCCATTTGATGGATATTCACGGCTGAGGTAAGGCTGAAAGTCTCTAGCCCAAAGGTCGCGAGTGGTATCAGCGAATGCACCCACTACTTGAGTAGTCCAAATGTCAACTGAATTATCGTCGTAAATAGTCGTCTAGATAGGACTAGACTTCTCCATGTGATGCTCTGTAAGTGCTAGGCTTGTGCCCGTCACGAATAAATATCTATTTTTGGGTAAACCATATATTTTGGAAGATACATATCCACCTATCTTAGGAAAAATTTAGGGCAAAAGATATCACCTCTTGATGTTTATTGTATTATATGGTTTCAAATTTACACGCATTCTACCGCTTAATGGCATTTAAATCGACCGGATATGGATTATGTTTTAGTTTTTACTGATTCTATGACTGCAAATTACTGCTAAAATCTTTGTAGGGCTCTTAATTTATGGTAGATGCCTAATGCGTTTTTTTCAATGTCTTTCAACAGATTTCGTGGGTATTGCCCTGGTTTGATCTTGTCCCAACATTTCTTTTTCCACCTGCATACCTCTACTTCATTTATTCAAGGTTAATACTCAAGCATAATTAGCTCATTTTCGATATTGAATTGTTCTGACGCATTATGCGTTGGTCATTCATGATAGCTAATGAAGGGGGGTTAAAGCTTGAGCAGGGACAGTAGCCTTCCCTTAATCTTGCACTCTACCTAATTGGCTCCGATATAATCTTGGTTCTATCTTTATGACCTTGTTTCTCGGCTTACACTACACTCACGATCGAGCGAACTACATATCCAACCAAGTCGATGATGCAGTCAAAATGACAAAGACTTTTGTTGGATACGAGTCTAATGTGTTAAACTTACGTTTCGGTAGGAGATTGTCAGCTTGAAAGAGATTGTCAACGTGAAGTGCACGTGTGCTGAAAAGTACGAGACTCAGTAATGTTCATGCTGTAGACTTGTAGGATATTATTTCAGGACTTGTAAGCTTCAAGTTCGTCAATATTCACACACGCCAGAGGTCTTTCCTAAAGCCCTCAGTTAGTCGAGAATCCTCCCCATATTCTTTTTGCCATCCAACGAATCCTTCGTCTAGGATAAAGACCAGCTGCCTGCGATTCTCTTCGAAGCTACTCTCGCGTACCTCATTACATAGGGTTTCCATACTAACGCGTGTCGACGTTTCCTGATTACTCGGAATATCCATTAGTCTCTCTCGTTCGCGCAGGTACCGTAGTGCAGCAGCCGGGCCTCTTTCCTGCGATAATGCACAGTGAAAGACGACAATCTTTCGTGACTCTAGTCGATACACAAGCTCCTGCATACGATAATCTAGAGTATTTGAGGGCTCGTGAAAAGAATATCTTATATGTCCACCAATGTGATCTACGTGAATCAGATGGTATCGTGGGTAGATTTAGGGCTGAGCTAGAACTTACCAGAGTCTCGTACATCGACCACAGCAACATGAGTGGGTGGTGTTGTTTCATCCAAATTAGGAGACTTTTGCGTTTCCAAAAGAATTAACTCTGCGAGTCTGGTAGATGAGATGCGGGGGATATTTGCGATAGTAGCCATTACCATTCTGCGCTCAAGATGCTGAAATCGGGAGCGATTTCTTGGTAAAGTTGGGAATTTTTTGCGGTAGCAGTTTTTGTAGGCAATGAGCAGTTATCAATGTATGAAATGTTTGATTTTACTAAAGCCCGAGAATTGGAATGGGCGCTTTTATTGTACTCCGTGCCCCGGACTCGTGGGCGAGTATTAACGCGATCAGAATAGGCTAGGATGCATACGATCCCAAATAAACTATACGCTGTGGAGCTCCCACGAGCTTTGTATCCACAATTTGAATGGACTATTCGAGCTGTCAACAAGGCAATGCCTTCTCACATTGAAGAAATTGGGGAAGCTCTGGTTACGTCTGATACAAAGGACCATATCCAAATCATAGGTCTAGTTTCAGGAATAGTGAGTTTACACCGATCGACGCACGATGCCAGATCTCTTTGGAGTGGTGGGTTAAACGGGAGTGCCTGACAGTTTCCGCTCAAAACCCAAAAGACTATGGCCACTAGTTGGTTCTAGGCAGCAAAAATATTGCATCCAGCGGGCCGATCTCCTAGCTTCCCCCTGGACACTCGGGTGTCGATGTTTCTCCAGAATCTGTGATACCTTGAGAGGAAAACGATGCGTTCCTGTTAAGCATCACGTAAATATTTTTCGAAAATAGCTGACTTTGTCCTCCTACCACGTGCAAGACGCCTCCAAACTATCAATGAAACCCGTAGTCGAGCGACACAAGTACTTTGCTCGCAAAGTTTAAATAAGTTTACTGACACCATGATGGCCCTTGGCGAACTTGTTTTTATGCACTTGTACTGTGGCCCAGCTGAATCATAAGTTTGATGGTGATTGCCGATAATCCCTTCCAATCCTGATAAAGCTGTAAGAAAATTAATGCTCAGCTTGCCATAGATACACTTGACTGGACGTACCCGATTCCTCCATTAATCCACGATGGGTAGAGGCTTCGAGTCGCAGGACGTTAGTGAGAAATAGTGAGGCACTCTTGACCAATCCCTAGAGCGAGAAGTTATCCTGGACACCCAAACCAAAATATGATTGGGATCGCGGAGAAATAGGCGAATGAGAGAATGTTGACTCGGTCATGAATTGGATTTAGGGCGTATTTCACCAGGTAAATTTTGACAAAACTTAGATGGCCGACTGGCCCAATGTCACAAGTCTACCTCTAAGTCAACAGATTCAGGTAGATTGTTATCAGGGCGCCTGACAAATGTTTTTCATACAGAATGATAATGATACGCAAAGCTCTCTCTTCATCTTTAGGTCATCCGAGAAAATCCTCTTATGAATACATGACAGCCAGGCTAGCCCGGGCCCGAAAGATAAAACCCAATTGCTTTGTTCAGGCCAAGAAATATCATATCTCACGTATGAGGAGCCAGCTCAACAACTAAATAAAGTTTTCCGACTTAGCCATCTAGGTAGTGTCTTGACTCATCATTCCGTCGAACCAGTAAGATGAAGAGGACTAGCAACGTTCTAGAAAAAGAAGTAGTAATAGCCCAAAGATTCCGTCGAGGTAAGATATTAAAGCAAAGCTGTCAACGGGTACGAAATTCGTCATACGTATCACCGCTATTGATGGGCTCTCAATACCGTCTTTTGTTTCGAGGCTTCGGTGTGCGCAACAGACTTACCTTTATGATCATCTGAAGCGAACGCATTGTGAGATTTACAAAAGAAAACTCTAGGAGGCTCCTACATTTCTTCTTAGCCCCAAAAAATAGAAAAGATTTGCTGCAGCGTTGATAGCTTTGGGGTTCGTGCTGCGTGGCTGATGGATCACAAGGACATACCCAAGCCAAAATCCACACTAGCAACGATAAGTGGAAGGAGGAATTTTTAGAATCAATTAGCCCTCGGGTGATTGCTTCAACGCCACGGATCATAATCTCAGTCAACTCCATACTCGCACAACCTAGAAACAAGCGAGAATTCGGTCATTTATGGCTTAATTACTGATCAGTGTCATTGGACTCGACCAAGTTGGATCTATGCTAGTCTCAGCTTGCCGCCAATTCGAGTATCTAGTTACTGGAGGCTTTTTTCCCCAAAAAGTGACCCCATATAACCGTTTTGCCTCAACGACATATATATATATAAATACAAAAAGTGGTAGATTTAGGTGGCAATATTACGAATGTATGTCATGAGATAAGAGCTAGGACTATTATTGCATCAATATTGTTCTAAGACCGATTGACGTAAGATGGAATTGATATCAAATATTCATCTTGTCTTACCAAGCTTTCCTCCCAGTGGAATCCTCGTGAGCAGGTTCAAAATCTATCGCAAACTTACTCCAATTATTTATAGACTACCATGTCATGTACACAATCTAATAACCTGAAAACTGGTTCTGGTTCCTGAAGAGACTATCACGTGTATCACGTATTTTCTTTCTTTAAATGCCACCTTCCTTCTCTAAATATTGCCTAAAAAGGTTCCCGAGTATAATCAGTCCTCGATTCTCACTTGACCTTATCCATCTTATACTTTATTCCACCATTAATCAGTCTCAAACGTAATCATTCTGAAGATGAAGGCCGTCCATTTTGGTGCTGGTAACATTGGACGAGGATTTGTCGCCGAATTGTAAGTATACAAGCACTTACAAAATGATTGAAGGAGCATTAATTTGTATTAAGCTTGTACAATTCAGGATATGAAATTGTTTTTTGCGATATTTCCGTACCTTTAGTAAATCGACTAAATGAGCAAAAGAAATATAAGGTTGTCCGAGTTGGAGGTGAGGGTATGAGCGAAGTGACAATCACCAATTATCGAGCCATCAACACCCAGACGAACGCGACAAATGCTATTGAAGAGATTATGTCTGCCGATCTCGTGACATGCTCCGTCGGTCCTAAGGTTCTAGAGTTTATTGCGCCAATTATAGCAAAAGGTATTGATGGAAGATCGAATAAAGCTCCCCCGGTTACTATAATTGCCTGTGAAAATGCAATAGCAGCAACTGAAACTCTAGCAAATTACGTCAGGGATCCAAGCTACACCGACCCAGATCGTCTGAGCCATCTCAATGAGCGGGCAAAGTTCGCAAATTCGGCTATTGATCGTATTGTTCCAGCCCAAAATCTAGATGCTGGATTAGATGTGAAGCTAGAATTATTTTATGAGTGGATAGTTGATCTGACATCATTTCAAGGCCATTCACCTCCGAAAATTGATGGTGTCAAATGGGTTGAAAACCTAGCCCCTTATATTGAGAGAAAATTATTCACTGTCAACACTGGCCATGCAACAGCTGCGTATTATGGTTATGTCTACCAAAAAGCCACTGTTTATGATGCTTTGCAGGATATCCTAATTCTAGAGGAGGTTAAAAATGTCTTAAAAGAGACAAGCGAACTAATTACTTCAAAGTATTGCATTAAAGAAAGTGAGCATGAAGAATATGTGAAATCAATTATAAAGCGCATTAGTAATCCTTATCTTGAAGATACGATTGAAAGAGTTGGGCGATGTCCCTTGAGAAAATTAGGCAGAGATGAGCGTTTTATTAGACCCGCTGTGGAACTTGCAAGAGATGGGAGATCTATACAAGGAATTTTAAGAGCTATTGAGATGGCATTTAGATTTCAAAATGTTGACGGAGATGATGAAAGCAGAGAAATGGCTTCAATTCTGAAGGATAATTGTCCAGAGGAAGTTGTCAAGAGAATTTGCGGGTTGAAGAGTGACGAAGTTCTATTTGGTTTGGTTGTTGATGCTGTTAAAAAGGTTCAAGCCGATGATTCTGAGGGAACATAATCTTTTTCTGGAGTATGCCACAAATCGATCAATTAACCTTTCTAGAGGGAGACATTATACATAGATATATACGCATTTATAATTTGCTTGAAACACTTGCTGAATTAGACTATCAGGAAAATATAAGATATAATTTATGACAACCTGATTTGTGGGTTTTATAGGGTCATTTTACATCCCTGAATGATGAGTATATCTATAAATCTTCAAAAGTAAAGTTGAATATTCCTTCGCAGAATAATGTTCTCATGTGAATGATATAAGCATGAATGATAATCGACACTGTAGAGGTTGGAGATTACTAACCAGTCTTGATGAGACAAAACATTACAGGAACCTTTAACTGTTCAAATGGAAGAGATTATTCCAGCGTCGCATCTTCAAGAGAGTCCGGATACATATGTTTATAAGTTGATTGATTATTTCTACTGTAGAAGTGATTTTTGTTGCACTTGGTGACTTAAGATTCTAGCAGTCAGCATCTGGTAGAGCCAAATGACGACAATATCAAAAAACGAGGCGCTAGAAATAATTTTGTCGGGCTTTACCAACTGGGATTTCGATACACGAGGACTAGGTTGAAGGTCTGATCTATTAATATTCAGATCAATGATCGTGTCGCAACACTATTTTGGGATGTGCATGGGTTAGGAGAGAGATTGCAATATGTTGATAGTTAGTCACGTGGTTGGTGCAGCTTGGCGTGTCGCCCTTAAGGCTGACACGCCTGTATCCAAGAAATAGAAGAACAAGAACTACCACATCAGAGAGAAACCCATTATGTACGCGTACACGTGTATATAACCAACCGACATATCGGGTATTATCTTTGCTATCAGAGCGAAATTAGAGATTTGAGACCATAAATATTCGGGACGGAGAAGATGCAGGCGTAGCAGTGGGGTGAAATGTACGGATGAAAAAAACTTGCTGCTTGTTCCATTCGAGAACAATAGACGAAGCTGCAGGGCTAGTATAGGTTGATTTATATGATGACCTATCTGATAGTCTAAGAAGCACTGTAGGCAAAGTAGTCCGTCTTTGTCTAGGCCCAAACAATGTAATGTCTTCCCAGCTATCTCGGGCCGAACAATGAGAGCCAAGGAGTACTAGAGCTACGTACAGTGGGGAGAATGCGTCGCAGTCCGGTTCGCGGAGCACGCGCGAGAGATACTCGCATGCTAAAATCCGGTAGAATTACTGCCGGCCTCTCCGAATTTGGTGGGAGTATCGATGAGTTGGAGAGACGGTCGGCGAGGAAGGGCTGGATGGCCAGTCTCGTGGCGGTCCATGAAGTCGAGGCTCGGTGGCGACGTGGTTTTAGAGGGTCGAAGTAGTCTTTTCAGCGTGGAATTCTAGAGTAATCGCATTGCTCCGTAAAGAGCGCCTAGATTTCTATGGGCTGGGATATCTCCTTGTGAGTCCATTAGGTGTCATAACTCTAATCCATTACAAGGCAGTCGGGCCATGTTAAAAGGCTCCGTATGGTATCCTTCGATCGCAGAGCGATATCTTTGGTGTTGAAATGAGTTTTTCTAGCTTTCAGCACTCGGCAGTGGTAAAAGGATAAACGAGATGAGTATGAGCTTAGTCTACTTTGGCTAAAAAAAGCTTGGGCGTGTAGAACCATGGAAGATTTAACATTAAATCATTAATTGTGTATTCAGCTACCGAGCTATAACACATGATCGGTGCTATGTATAGATGTTGGATGACTCTTTTGACATTAGAGGCACTCGTAATCTAGATTTTAGTCGCAAATACCACTACGAGGTATGTTCACTTACAAAAACAGTCGACCCTCCTCCGTAAGTACCCACCAAAGGGACGTTCGAAAGCTTTGGTTATCCAAGCAAGCCTATGTCATCCATTTAAACTTGCACCGCGAGAAATGTGGTTCATTTTTGCCGCATTCGAAGTAGCGATCTCCTGTCTCGAGTAGGATATGTGTCCCAGAGATGCAGAATCTACTTTGGACACCTGCTCAGATGATGTACCACCGCATCATCCCACCATGGTGATGTTTTTTATGTCGCCCGCACTTTCGTAACTGAAGCTTTGGTGCACGTACAAATCTCAATTCGTAAAACTCCTTGCCAAAATTCGAAATTTCACGCCTGTCAAGACTATATTCATCCTCTGCATAATCTTGTGAAGTCGTCCTGATCCCTCTCATGTCCATCCAAATGAAAAGTCTTCTAGATTTGTGCGCCACGCTTTGTTTCCTCCGTCAGTTATAAATATCGGCGTGGGCGTGTATTTGGCGACCAGCTGAGACCAGAGAAAGTCGAGGGGTGGTGTGGTCATTGGGATGAGGATATACTGGGTCGTACTTGTGGACTTGATGAGACTTAGGTAGGCGTCAAACTCGTTGGGAGCGGAAAAAGCGACGTGGGGGAGTAATTTGAATTATTGGCTCGTGGGCCAACTTCTTTGGTATTACGAAATTTGACTGAACTTAGCAACTGGGAGAATACTTCACTCACAGGTTTTCAGTATTGCCGTGCAAGGGTGCGCACAAGTAGGCATCTCGGGGCTATCTATCAGATGGAGAGAATGATGCAGGAGAAAAAGAGGGCCTAAGAGAAAGGAATATTCTCAGGTGGCCAAGGTGGGTTGTTAGTACTATTCTCCGCAGAGGACATAAATGATAGGAGATGACGCGGCAGATTAGCTACTCTAGATGAAAAGATCAATTCCCATTGAGCTATCGATTTTCAGATGCTTCTATAATCTTTAAACTTTCACACTGGGTGAGTATTCACGGATCAGTGCTGACTTGGGGTGAAGAAAAAGCCGGCATAACTTCGCAGTGGTATTTGCAAATGAAATCTGAGGAGCGAGTGCTCTGCTTCTGAATTGAGTCATCTATTCTGTACCTTGACTCTGATATTGCGTCATAGCTAGATAGTTGCATACGCAATTAAAATCTGATGCAAAATAATAAAAAGCAGTTGAAACTAATAATTAGAAGCAGGCTCAGCCACCACCAGTATATCCTGATAACCCGTCCAATAGTGAGCTGAGCTCTCAACTTCCTGGAATTAACTCTTGACATGATTCAATACATTGGTCAAGTGATGTGGGACGAAGTTGATGTATTTAACTTTAGTTGAGCAAGTCAAGTCCTACTCTACCAGTACTCAAGCTCTCAAAGGAGCGTAGAGCGTGCCATTTATCTAGCACGTTAACATGCATAGTACCAAGGAATTGATGACCCTTCAGACTTGGCCTTGCAAAGCGCATCCACTGAAGTAACGGTTGGAGGGAAAGTGTGCACAAAATTTTTCGTATTGTGAGGATCAACAACGCAGCCAACGGTTAGAATATGAGGAATTAGAGTCACAGTGGTGATAATGTAGAGTGCATGGTGAATATGTGATGTGTTGTAGTAATACAGAAATGCTGTGGACAGCTTTAGCCTAACCAACCAGCTGACTATGCAGTATTTCCAGACACGCAGCGATATCATAGAGCCTCATTAGCTCTCACAATACTTAGAAATGAGACCCCTACTTCTCCTGGAGAGTTCAGTAGTCCGGCAGAGAATGAAACTGCACCGTGGCACAAGAGTACTCCTATCCTAGGTTCAACACCAACTTGATAGCCTCAATTGTTCTTTCTTCCAACACGTATAAACACAAATTTATTCAACAATACAGGTTTCATGGGTTTTACCCTTGGTGTAAAGCATTCATTGGGTGCCTTCTCCTCGCCAAATATGCGTGTATTATCAGCGTACGTATGTTAAGCGTTCAACGCATAATCGCTTGTGCAAGCTACTAGTTGTTTACCAAAATGACTGTGGGAGAAACATGAATGTTCTAGGTCGGGTCCGACCGTATGGATAATTAGATTCGCGGAGTGTTCTGGAGCGTCTGAGTATGGCTGGGCAAGATATTGGCTTCAAATCAATCACCAAGGTAGCAGCTCTTGGCATAGATATTACGGACCGTTGCCAGGATTGTCTGTAGACGATTTCTGCCGATTTCTCTGTGCGTTTGACTCCTGTTATTCGATGCGCGCAGACACTTTTTTCTCTTGTGATTTCCGCAGCCGTAGGTTCAGCGCAAGTTACTCTACCCCAGCATCGTCGTTGCAGATGGAGTGCTGTTATCTAAGAAAGATCAGCATTGAGCCGAATCGCGTTTGCAACGATTCAGGCAAGCGACCTATTACAGCGCACATTGACGAAGGCTGTGATCGCCATCTGGCGAGTATAACCCTAGAGATGACTGGGGTGCAAAGACCAGGCGACGACCTGACATAGTAGCATGACAAGTTCAGAAGCTGAAAATCTACTATGAGGATAATCCAATTTCTTAATTACATCGAAATAATCCTGTGCAGCACAACTCATGCTACAATCAAAAGTCAATCACAGCTCCAGTAGAAGAGAAACAAACTGACGCTGTATCCAAATTAGCCAGCAAGTCTTCAACTGGATCTTTTCCCAGTCGCCACTTGTAAAACAACAAGTACTTTGATAGAAAAATTAACGTAGTGAAGGATCTTCATGAGTCGTGTCAAGATACGACAAGTCTAATGACGGAGCAATTACAGCTCTGAAAAGTTAACGAGGAATTACAATATGAGTTACTAAACAAACGAGATACACCATCAATATATCATGTGATTAGGCAAGAAGTTAGCCATGTAGCTGTCTTTAGGCATGACTAGTAATCATATAAAAAAAGGAAGGCAATTTGAGAAATTTAGCATAGCCCCTCGTTAGTCTGAGACTATGAAGGACCTTGAGAATCAATATACAGAACTCTAGCTACACTAACAAAGGCTTGATTTTAGAGAATTCAAGCAAATTCCCATAGACTACAATGTACGTGTCATCGAAATGGAGAGGCTGTTGACACAGGAAGCGTCTCAGAATAAATGAGGCCTGATTGAAACCTTCACATGAATAGATCTATATCCAACAGTGTAATTTAAAAATAAAACTCTCCTTCTTAACGTAGTAATATCCTGGGAAATTAAATGCGTCAACACATTCTCAGTAATCCCGCACACGCGGGTTCCTCTCCTGTAAAGGAGGTCGTTTCTCGATATATTAGGGCCTCCTTTACGACAACAAAGCTTTCACCAAAGCAGCTAAAACCTCATGCTACCGAAGTGTTTGCTACGACGGATGTCCCTCTAACAGTCCTCAGGTCAACAGGATATTCGACTCGCAAAAACTAGTTAGAATAATATATAAACTACACGATTGTGCTTCAGTTGTTTGCGGCAAAGCAACTTGAGAGATACGTGATAAATAATCCATCTAATCGACTCATTATCACAACAAGGGCTCTGAAAACAACTTTTAGACAAAATTTTATGCAATTAATTTGATAAAATGCACTGTGCCATTGCTTTTCTCATGTACATGGCAAATAGCCCGCTGCAAATGGACCGATTGGTTGTCACGACCGAACAGAGAGATGTGGCTTCTTATCACGTCTATGATTATCACTCCCATGGCGAGTTCCCAAATCAAAAGAAAATTGATCAATTCATCAAGACTCCGAAACGTTTGAGGGAGCCTGGCACATACTTCATGTCCTATTGCTCAAACCTATTTACCAGTCACCAGATAGCATACATAATCACCCAAAAACTTAAAAACATCACAAAAAAAGCCCATATTGCTTTCTCCTACAGTAGAAATGCAGAGAAAGAGTGTCTCAAATATTTACCTATCAAGAGCCACAAGAATGTAAACGCGTGGCGTAAGATCAAGTCGAAGCTCATGCTAAAAGTGAAGAGAAAATGCCCCAACGATATGATTGTCAGTCTAGCATATCAAGGAATCTTTGCGGTTGATGGAAAGTACAAAGAATTCTTCCCACCGGATAAAAAACAGCCTGATATTTTAACTATCAATGGTTCAATGCAGATGAAGTCTTTGGTCGCGAATGGTGAATTTTTCCTGGGACAGATGACAGTTTTTGGACAGGAGGCGCTTGCCTGGTACCAGGGACATTTACACTTGTTTAAACGAAATTCTAAAACGGCAGCTTGGTTTCCAGTCACGGTAATTGGATCAGAGTCGAATAACGGATGGATCATTACCAACTTTATTTTGCGAGAATATCCCGGAATCCTGCCCAACTGGGAGGAATTTTATGGGTCAAAGATTCGATCCGACTTTTATCAAAAGATGAGGAGGCTGTATCCCAAAGCAAAGCATAACCAGTATCCGGCAGAGTTTGGTGAATATTCTAGTAGATACCCGTTCCAGCAAAAAATGACAGCATCTTGCGCAACTGGCATTACTAGAGCGAAGTAAACATGTAATTACTCCTTTAATTTACCAAGCCTTCCGGGCTCAGCGGACCTTGGCTTATATTCTTTCTCGATGAATATTCTTGCCGTATACTTTATTGCCGTCTACGGCGATCAATGGTGAAAGTCGGAAAGAGATGTGTACTAGTATACGCATTCCATGGGAGTTAAATACTGGACTTCTTTCGCTCTCGCTTCTTCTCCAGAAACACCTTACATCACTCTAAGCTCCAGAACGATTATTGTCTTGTAATCAGCTTATTTTCTTAATAAAGAGCAATAAAGGTTTTGGTTGTCTATGAGTGGGAAACTTACAGATATCGGTTCTCATAGACAAGGAAAATAATAAGTGGAATCGATAAGTTAGAAGCTAGATTTATTCTGGTACTATGCAGTAGAAATATCGCCCATAAAATCGTGATGTTGTCATTCTTGTGGCGACTTGGGGCCGATACTTATAAGCTCACTGATCTCAAGAGAGAAGAGGATACGATCAGTTGCTTAGATTTGCGTCTCTGTATGCCATGATACCGATCACAATCCACGAATACCTGAATTTCTAAGCCATCAAGCTGGGAAAAAGCCACAATATTATCTACTTTTACATCAAATATCTTTCGAGGGCTTATAGCTCTCGTGTTAATTTTAGAGTGACGAGTGGTTTATTTGGTTGGGCTTGGCCTGTTTGTCGACGCTGTGTATCCAGGTCAGATGGTGCCCTGACATATATCAGTCGTGTTCTTGGATTAACTTGCATAGGCGTATTTGTAGGACGAAGGAGTTTCTGCTTAGCAAATCAGAGATCAACTTTCCCCGAGACTCTAAGATTGATTTAAACTTAGGTCTCCACTGAGTCTTAGACTATGAAATACTACCTGAGAATCTATCTAATCGATTCCTCAATTTATAGGTTAATTCTCAACATGAATATTATAATTATGTGCTAGTTGATCCTGAGAGTCAAGCCCTTCCCAGACTTCAAGACTTGGCAGGCATTCTGTTATACTAATCACAATCGTGCTTTGGTTCCGAAATCAAAGGTGATGATCCGAAAGTATAATGTGCTAGGTAGTTGGCACTAATAGCGGCCCTCAAAAGCTTTAGACGGGTGGTGCTGGTTTGGGCCAGGCTCAATGTCATTTGATGCATGAGCCTCGGCCCATGGACATGACAAGATTTCCATGTTTTCCACCTCAGTTTGAAACCATTACAAGTCCGAGTAGCCAGGGCACCTATTATTAACAACCCAAGACGCAGATTTCCGCTACTGTTTTAGTCATTTGTCTAGCAATCACATATGGTCAGAGTATGGTGAGTTTGAATGACTCTCTCGGCTTTGGAGACACTCATGCTCTGTAATTCATTTGCAGATGCCACTACAGGGTATGATTCTTTTCACAAACAATACATCGTTGCCCATGAATGCCCATCAAAGACAAGTTCCAAAAAATTTTGTTATTTTGAAGTATTTTATTGTCCTTTCTCGATATATGACTGTACAGGACACTTAGGTTCTCTCTGTCTACAGGCCAAGGATACCTATGCCAATAGTATATCCCTTCTTATGCCTCCTACACAGTTTTCCTCAAAGATTATGATCCCTCTAATAACGCTATTCCTAAACGGGATCCTCATTAATCATCAATAAGATTTGTCATCGATCCCAAGGTTATACCGGAATGGTCATCAAGTTATTAGGTCATTGGATGGAGCCAGTTGCCCTTCATCTGCCCTCTGAAGCCGGCGAATCAATAGTCGTTTAGCGATACATGGCAGCTGGATAGAATCGCAGAAAGCACTGGGTGCAGGGCTCCCTTGGAATTGAAATCAGGACTGGATTTTTTTGGAGACTAGAATTTGTGAGAAATATCACGAGGCGCGAGCTGGCCCGTCGAATAGAATAGAATTAAATTTAAGTCCCTACTGAGTCTATGACTGCGAAGGCCGGCAAAGATGAATTCTTCACCTTCCAGTGGTGCCGGTGTAATCGCTCAGTGTGCTCTGCATATCTGGGATAGCCAAGAAGAATCGCATCCAAATCGAAGTCGAAAGCAATCACAAGCATATCTAAAATCGACGACTTCTCGTCAATGTCGGACCTACCATTCTCACGCGAGTCCTCCACCTCGCCCCGAATACCGATAATGGCGTTACTCCAATTGCGATCGAGCATTTGCCTCATCAAAACCCGGCCATCTCCTACTACAAATTTACGATGCTATGTATACCCGCGAGGAGGAAATGAAGTCATAATCTACAAAGCTCGGGTCTTGATCTATGGGGGACCGTTGCTCTAATGGGGCTTCACATCTTGAGGGAGGATAGGCAGCTGGGACGTGGGACGAACGAGTGAAGAGGTCACAAATGGGCATGCTGGGACGCACATTTTTCGAGTGTCTTCGACTTGAGATTGTCTGTGAGTGCAGAAGCAACGATTTTGGATAGTACAACCGACGCTCTAGAAATAGGCAACGATGGAAGGTGTTTTGGTCGGCATCTCCCCGAATTAAAGTCTGGGTAGCCTGGACACCTACCTCACTCGAGAGAGGGAGGACTGTGAGGCCATATCTCGCGCGGCGGCTACAAACAAGATGGCAAAGTGTAAAAGGACGGGAATCACGGACGCTGCACGCAAAGGCTGCCACAAAATAATCTATATTTTTCTATGAAGAGAATACTTCAATGGGACAGAGCCAACGTAACGTGTGTGCTGGTGACCACCTTACATAAGCACTTACTAAGCGTCTAACTTGTTGCAAGAGACAGACCCATTTGCCACATCCCACGTACATGCAAGGCTGGGCGCGTAAGTTAGCCCAGCCCACTAACACCGCGTAAAACCCGCAACACAAAGGCATGTTAGGGTAGCCAAAGGTTCTTCATGTTTTCCCTTTGGTGGATATTAACGGTTGAGGGAAGAGTGAAAGTCCCTAGCTCCAAGGTCTCGAGTGGTATCAGCGAATGCACCCACTACATGAGTAGTCCAAATGTTAAACTGATTTATCGTCGTTGTATATAGTCGCCGGAGAGGCTAGTCTTCTCCGTGTCATGCTCTTTGAGTGCAGGGCTTGTGCCCGTCACGAGTATATTTTCATCATCTTCTTCTATAACTATAAAGGTCGCTGGCCCGTCGAAAAAGATGTGGTGAGCAAGTGATAGGTGTTTGTCAGCCCGGCCCCCCATTAGCCTTGCGATGATCGACGACTCTAGGAGTTGAACCTTCATCCGGGACTATAATTCACGCTGGTTTCATCTCACCAAATGCGCACTGCCTGTACTAGGCATCTCTGTCGGGCTTGTGCACCGAGGGTCAGCAGGTTGGAGACTTCGGACCAAAGTCCGCTGCATCGGCAGAGTCTAGGCTATCGAGTGAAATCCAATTCCGTGACCATTTGGCTATCTCTTGCTTAAATGTCATGGGCTTATGGGGCGAGGAGCCCTGAGGCCTAATTTTACGGCGTCAGCGATGAGGAAGGCATCACCCTGAATTTCCCCATTCACGTAGGCCACCAGACGCTTCGAGGGGAACTTTGCTCGACGGGCCTCTCCGATAAGGCCTAGACTGAAACGGCTCACCATAACGCCAGCACTCAACTCATTCAAGAGGGCTCATCAGTGTGTCTACGTGGCACATAGAGACTAAACATCTATTCGCCGTGTGCCCCGTGAAGTCGTCCCCTGGACCAAAGTGCGGTCAAATCTCGCAATAACGAAGTAAGCTGACGAGTCACCATCACGTTGACCCTTCAGCGTCGGAAAGAAACACTTTTCATCTTCCATCGCTGCCAAATTAATCGCTCGATTTGCTCTGCACGTTGGAGATAACCAAGAAGATTCGCGGCCCACGCAGTCTTCATCCCTCTGCACAACCCTCATCACCATTTTCATGCAGCCAAATGCAATCAGATCTGATGGGTAGGGCTTCGACTCTACCCATCACCCATTCTCCTGGTCACAGAGGAGAAGCCATCCGATGAGCTCTGGAGCGCACCTACCATCCGAAAGGCCGATAGCACGCTGGACCAGGCGCCAGCCTCTAATGTTACAAAGGAGATATAGGTGGATATCTGCACCTCGTGTGGATCTGGCTGCAGGTTTTCTGTGACTTTTCATGCACACATAGTTTCCACGGCCACCATTTTTTTTGGGTAGAAGGGTCCGTGGAAAAGGTGGCTGAATTTTATGGAAAAACACGAAGCTGAATGGCTATCCATGATGATCATCAATTTAAAGATCTATTTTCGTAACAAGAGAGAGAATAGTAGTACTTTACAAGGTGTGGCCAGGGTCAGAAAGGAGCCAAATGCGCTAGATAGCTATAGACTCAAGGAGGACATTAAATACCAAGCCAACCTCATCATCTTTCACATCTACTCAGATTGTTTCTAGCCAATGCCTATCATATCCTTGTTCCAATGGCCACACCTCTCGTCGACACAATCTCTGGCTTCCAAGCATGCGCCCATTCCGAGATTAATACCCGGTAGAAAATCGTGGTGCACAAATACGGGAGTTGGATATTTGGGATGGACGTAGGTAAGATGAAAGTAGATTGGCAGTTAGGCAGAGGTTGGACACCATCTCGATTTTTGGGAAAGAGTTCTCACTTTGAAGAGCTCCATGACCTGGCGTGCAAGAATGCAAACGACACCATAAATATGTACATAGCTAATCAGTGCGGTAGTACATTATCCAGGCCTATCTACCAAGTGGAATCTAGATGGCTCGGGCATCTATACCACGCGATACAGGAGATGGCTGGCTGAAATCAGAGGCATGAGCATATTTTTCGCGCTATCCACATACCTGATGTAAAAAGCATGCTCAGATAACTAGAGATCTTGAAAACTCTCTCATAGGCACTCATGAGTGACAGTAGACTGTTTTGTGTCGACACATAGATGTTGCGGGATCAGTTGATGATGGTCGGCACCGGAGGAAGTCTGAAAGTATGTTGATGGTTCTAATCTATGGATTAAATCGAAAGCATTACTATTTTCTACACTTAATTACACCTTGCTCAAAGCCATTGCCTTGAGAGCCACGGCATTAATTACCAGCCCCATCAAAGCGTCTTTGTGGCTACTAACGCTACATGGCATATACTGCCTGACTCAGTGCTGGCGCGGTCAATACCAGCCTCACAGGTCTATCCCATAACAAATCAAATAGAATTATAGTCCCTAATGATTCTTTGACTGTGAAGGTCTGCTGATAGCTGTCTAAAAGCTATGAAATATTTTCTTGGTTTTAGATGTTCATTAACTCCAGTATTTTCCAATTGACACTGATGATCTTACCCTACAAAGAGACATATCTCATAGTGGTATCTGCAAATGATGTACAGTGTATGAGTGTCTCCATGTCTAAAGGTGTCATACAAAGATTGATCAACACATTGATCAAGTGTTTTTGATGGATGCCTTGTGAAATTATAAATAGCCTGTAAATATTATCACTTTGTACCGTTATTAGATCAACTGGCGCTGCGTGTCGCGGCTCGAATGCCTTGTCATGGAGCAACTACTGTAATCGAACTTTTTTATTTCTTTTACTTCAAAAGGAGAGGGGTAATCATGCCTGGCTGCTTCTACGTCTCATTTTCTGGGATTCTCGTACTAGCATCTAATATCCCTCTCCCTAGCCTCTGCTCTTGCTGATAAGAGTTGGTTGAGCCCGAGTGGCCATCAATCCATACTGCGCCATAGACAAATGTAACTACCTAATGACGAGGCTCTGCCGTGAAATTCGATTTTGTTAGCCAGCACAACGCATAGCTTCCTCTTACGTATCGGGTAGATTCCCGGACACGCAAGAATAGAAGGAGCCAGAATAGCGGATGGGATTGGTCGAAGAGGGATCGAACTAAGATGCAGGATCACGGCCACACAACAGCTTTGATCCGAGCTGCAGTCGGGCGCAAAGCCCCATCTCTGCATAGGCAATCGTCGAACGAGTGATGGGACAGCGCCGGCGCGAAAGTGCATGCCGAAATCGATTGATAGATACGTTGCAAAAAGCCGGCTGGGCCAGCGTTGCCGCGAACAGTCTACCCTCGGGTAATTGCAACTTGACCTGTGCATCGATACTTCACATTAGCCCACCGACGATTCAAGCGTGTGCAATTCACACTCAATTTCGAGCGGCGCATGGTTTGATGTAGAGAGGCACGGGAAAGGCGCTGATCAGAGAGCGGAAGGGCTGATGTCGGCAGCGCCTTATGCACTTTTCAAATTAGCCGGCTCATAAGTACTCGGTGAGCGTGTCCTGGCTAGCAGAATCCTCGCAGTTAAAATGGGAATGATGGCTTAGCCCAGGATCACGGGATTAAAACGGAGGTTGGTTAGATCGAGACGCCGACGCATGGTGGCCGCGACAGATTCTTGTAGGGAGGCGTTTGGAGCCATGGGCATTTGGAGGAGGGCTTTTCAATATTTGTGGACTATTGAATTTGTCATCATTCAACACGTAGGTATGTTTCGGCCTGGCTCCACTCATCTAGGTGGGACCAGACATGCTTGGTCCCCTTTACGGTAGTTAGCCTGATCTGACCCAGCCCCGCTCATTCTTGGGCTAAATTAGGAATACGTTGGCTGTCAATTAGATAGAACTTCTATTTTCAAAAGATAAACAATGCGGGTCAGGGTCTTGAAGCCGAGGGAATAAACGTGTAAGTGATCTATGCCGCAATGACTTCATCAATGGCGGTGGCCTGAAGGCAATGTATCGGCACTTGGTGCACATTGGCGACTACTCTAAATTCCACTACAATCCCGTGATTGGTAGTTTACTCTCGTTACATTAGTAGAAAATTAGATGTATTGTAGTAAAATTCGAGACTGGACATGAGATAGATTTTTAGGACTTTTTGTTATCATCCATAGTCTCTCCCTTCAGCATGGTCACCAGCACAGACTATGTCTGATTTCACTACGAGCTCTGCAAATTGACAACAGTCAGAAAACGCTCTATTATGGATATCATGCCATCGGCTGGCGGTAAATATTATTAATATTTTGAAGGGCAACATCTATCTATGGTTGCTTGGTATGTGAAATTCTTCAAATGCACTATTAAAAAGTACGGCAGTCGGTGAAGGGACCTCAAATTACTCTCGGGTCCAACTTCAAAATCGTACATGGTGTGGAAGCTCGTGTGACATTCCATTTCGTAAATTTACCAGGAACGCAGTCATACATTAAGAAATAATTGAAACAAATGTACAGTCTCGGAACAATTGGTCTTTAAGAAGCTCGGAAATTTGGATGGTGATATGGCCTTTTTTTAGGTGTCCTAAACATTATACCGCCAGCAGATTTTGTGTCGTGCAAGGTTTTAGCGACGACTATTCGGCGACGAAGAAATATATTTATTTTATTTGTTAGATTAATTCGTGATTAGATGAAGAAATTTGTCAAGGGCCATGTCCTGTTTCTGTAATTCCCAAATTTCTTTTGGCCCAGGGTTTAGCTTTTTCATCAGGAATTGTGTTGGTATCTTGAGTCGTCCTACCCATTTTCCGACCCGTCAACACGTCTCTTCGGCTTGCACAGCAACACAATAGACACACGTGAATTAGCCATCCCAATATACTAAATGCAGTTGCTATCCACATAAAAGCGAAGAAGGACCGACCAATGCTAGCGCCTATGTGAAGCCCTGGTTGACTGGTTGACACATTGACAAAAATTATTGACATGGCTGTGACGATTACTGTGGCAACAGTGGTGAAAAGGGCGCCAAAAAAAGTCCAGATAACAAACGGCAGACTCCACCAGCGAGAATATAGGGTTATTGGAGCGATGAATATAGACACAAAGTTTACGCAAGCACCTGCAATGAAAAAACAGAACATTACGTTGGATGCCAGCTTGATCAGATCTAAAATCTTGTTGATGTCAGCCGGAAGAGCGATGGTGGCGCCGGAAAGTAGTTCATTGAGCAATATTTCGACCGGATTAAACCAAAAACGGGCCTTGGGCTTTGCACAGTAGCTAATTCCCTCATTATTATATCCTTCGCAGAAATTCCAAAGCCCGACCTGGTAAAAGTCGTGAAGTCCTAGCGAGCGCGCGAGAGAGTTAACGAGTATAATATCTGCCGGAGTAGACGCGGGAATTATATTGGCCAAGTTGAGTTTTAAAAAGTAGGTAGAGCGTATAACTGGTTTATTTTTGGTGTTGCCGATGATCGTCTATTCTTTTGTTAGAGGTGCGAGAGCATCACGGGGAGTGGAACAAATACAAGAATCAAAAAAATGACAGAAAGGGCAAAGAGAATACTAGATGCCGCTATCCAATTTTTGCGCATCACCGTCGCCATTTTAACATTGACGCCAGAGGGAGTCTGAGTGTCATTATTGGAAGCTACCTTTTCTTCCATTGTATTCTTATTTGCTGCATCTTCAGTAGCGTGGACTGCAGATATCTCGGCATCTTGATTGATTTCTGGTTCTGATGTTTGTTCCACCGCTGCAGTTTCTGGACTTTTCTGAGAAGCTAGAGACCGAAAACTGGGAATCGTCATGATGTTTAAGCTAAGAGACGGGTTTGCATAGTTTTGATAGTGAGAAGTTGGCCTCCTACACAACTAGGCCGATGTGGTAGATTGAGGCCAATGCAGCGCGATGAGAAGGGATCATCGTTTATGTAAAATAAGAAATGAGAAGGTTGGGGGAGGGTGTGGGGATAAGTGACCAGCCTGCGGTAGAGGCATTCTGGAACAGACTAGATAGACAGTTGTATAGGATTAATACTGTACTAGCCCCGGCAAAAATGCTGAATTGTAGCAGAGAGTCAGTTCAACGGGTGCCCTTCTTAAAAGTTTCGATGCGAGGATCAAATTGTTGTCCTAAGATGGAACGAACCTGCTTACGGCGATCATCCGGACCGGGACGTCTGGCAATCCTGTTCTTCAAAAACTGCCACTTTGATTAATAGTGCAAATAATCAAAAGACCTTTTGAAGGAGCAGACAATACTACGAGCCAACCCTCCAAACGAACTTCAAACCCGTAAAAAAACTTTATCTCCACATTGTCCCTCCCTCTGCCCTGAACCGCTTGAAGTTCATGTGTATAGCGGAATCCTTGTGTTAGATCATAAAAACCCAATAAAGAATGCTTGGACCTACCATGATGCGAGTCGTCAATGCAGTAGTGACTTAATTTGCACTCGCAAACTTTCGCGGCCTTTTGTGTTCTCACTAGTCACATACCACTCTTCCCCACATGGTATAAATTTTTCTATAGCCGTGTGATTAATAATATCTAGGGATCCCTGTTCGGGTAACTCGACCAGCCATCATTTACCGGCTCCCCGGGCATCTGGAGGAGCTTGAGGAGGTAGGTAATAAGGTCTGATCACTTCGCCGCGCGCGTTGAAAGGAAGGGGGCATATTTATTTTTTGACCGAATATTGCCAGCAAAGGTATTCTCGTTGCACTTACTGGCTGCATCACAGAGCCAAGGGCGGATGGTATGAATAGTTGTTGGTGGCTGTTCTTCGTCAATATTCGCTATTGGCCTTGTTCAATCGGTAGTGCCTTAGGGTCAGGCAGGGGCTTATATGCGAAAACAATCTCATAATTTCCTAATTCATCTTCTGATCAACCACACCATTTCCCTCCACCCTGTCCCCTATCCATGTTAGAAAGGGCTGTTTTTTGTTTACCCTCCATGTAAGATTAATTATGACGAGGTTGAGGTAGGCTGTGCAGGCCCTTTCATCCACCATGCTTCGGGTATTCAAAAGGTTAGCATAACCTAGATTGTTAATCGCGGTTCATCATGCTCAGCAACACTAGTCATCCACAACTGCTCAGCTGAGTTCCTCGCCCAGATCAGAGGTAAGTCGCACAAGGGGCTATCACAAACTCTGAATCTTCTCACGCGTCCTCTCCACTGACGGAGCGAATAAGCTGATTCAAGGCATTAACTCAACATGTGGTTGTCCAAATCGCCGATTATACTGCTTGTCGTCGCTCGCGTTCTCGCAGAAGACGCACTATCCACAGAGACAGACCTTCCTCCACCTCAGAATATAGTCCAAACAACGCCAACCGGCAGGTATAGCAGCTACTCTTCAACATTTACCGTCTCTTCATCAGCAATCACGACGGAACCAATTGTTTCGACTATCACTAGCGATCTCACGACAAAAGCCACCACTATCGGATCAACAACCATCTTCGGTATTGGAACCATCTCTGATAATGCAACCGCGCTTTCAGAACCAACAGAGACCCAAACTCTTCTAGTCGGCCGTCCCTCAACTTCCAATGGCACTGCAAACGCCACATCATCTGCTGCGGAGCCTGCTGCCACCAACGAGACACCCTGTAACAACTATCCCCAGTTCTGTTCGCGCAAGTACAGCAATATCACAGAAATATCGGCTCACAACTCCCCATTCGTACGTCCGGGCAATGCTGGTGCCAACCAAGCTCTACCCGTATCGGCGCAGCTAAATGATGGAGTCCGCCTTCTCCAAGCTCAGGTCCGATTTGTCAATGAAACCCCCCACTTCTGCCACACCTCATGTCAGATCCTCGACGCTGGTCCCATTACCAAATACCTAGGTGAAGTATATGATTGGGTTTCTGAAAACCCCTACGACGTTGTCACAATCCTTCTCGGTAACGGCGATTATCGACCTGTGGTCGACATTGCACCGTACGTAGAGAAGTCTGGTCTGCTGAAATATGCATACAGCCCTCCTAAGATTCCCATGACGATTAATGATTGGCCTACGCTTAGCTCCATGATCATAACTGGAAAGCGGGTCGTGTTCTTCATGGACTATGAGGCCAATCAGACTGCTGTGCCCTGGATCCTCGACCAATTCTCGCAAATGTGGGAAACGCCGTTTAGTCCTACTGACCGTGCTTTCCCATGTACCATTGAGAGACCGCCAGCTCTACTGCCCCAAGATGCCCCAGAGAGAATGTACATAATGAATCACAACCTCAACTACGAAATAAGTATCCTCGGCAATTCTCTTCTAGTTCCCAACATTCCACTGCTCCCAGTCACCAACAACGAGACTGGATTCGGCAGTCTAGGCGAGAATTCTCAGATTTGTAATGATACATGGCACTACCCTCCCAGGTTCCTCAATGTTGACTATTACAATGTCGGCAATGGCAGTGTCTTCAAAGTCGCAGCCAAGTTCAACAATGTCACCTACGATGCTGAGTGTTGCGGCCACGCCAAAAACCATGCGCAGGGCCTCTTCAAACTCGCTAACAGTGGGCTTCGACTCTCAGCTCTTGTCATAATATGCCACGTCTGGTTCTTCTTTCTCTAAAAAGAGGTATCTGCGGATCTCTTGCATCTCCTAACAATCCCATGCGTTCTCAACCCTCGGATACGGGCATTATTTACGATAGAAACCCACAGACAGACGCCGAATGCATAACAGCTGAAAGATTAAAACCATACCTACAGTCCCGTTATCGATAACGTAAATTTATTCTGAAATAATTATGCACCAAATTTCCTGAGGGCTACAAATTGCCTAATTCAATCGTCGTACTAAGACAGCAAGTGACTCTATCGGCATAGCAGACACTGTAAAATCATTGAATAACTAGTAGGGCGCGCTTTAACTGTGACTGGTAATACAGAACAGCGCTGGCGCTATCTCCCGCTCCATATAAGCAATAAAACAAACATATTTTTAGCTTGGAGCGCTCACATCTAATTGTGTCAATTTCTCTTTAAACTTATGGGAGAATGTCACGCTAAAATAATTTGTAAATTACTGAACTTTATGATGAGAATTCAAACTTTCTTTTTTGCCTATTCATTACAATTTAGTTTGATATCTTGGAGATTTTCAACACTAGACTATCAAAACCTCAATTCATCGATTTAAATTGATGCTGTATTGTACTCATTAAATAAAAGATCTTTATTAAACTCCCCCTCCAGTGGTCCCCATCAGAATCCTCTCCCTGAACGCCAATGCATGTGATAGCATAACGCCTGACGCTAAAAATTTGAAACTTCAGTCATGAAAACGTCATTTTGTTGAGCCCATAGTTTTTTGTAGGGAATGATCTTAGTGGACTTGATACAGAAGCAGACATCGGCGTGCTTTCACCGTGCCCTAATGGTATAACGGGAGATGTGAATGTTGCCGACCTCAATGTCGGACCCGCGCTATGAGCTGCCGATTGGGAACTTACTCGCTCTTTAGTGTAATTATTATAAAAACTGTTGTTAGGTAAGCCCTGAAGCGTTGATACAGAGGTACCTTGAGATGATGAACCCATTATAATGCCTGATTGAGGGGTCATGGGGAGTGGAGTTTGAGAGATAGGCTGAATCAGGCCAGAGTGCAGTCCATTGGTGCCGCCAGCTGCTGGAGAAGCCATAAATGACCAGGGGGAAGATTGAATAAGCTGGCTAGTGTCCTTGATGGCCTTCTGTAATGGCCGAAGTAATGCTATAACATCATTGTTAAGAAGAGTGGTCATACTCTTTGCCTCTTTTACCTTAATCACCAGCTCAGTGAATGCCTTAAAAATGTTAGTAAAGCGTGTAACTTAGAATTGGGAAATTTGACGTGCTTGAATAAAAGAATAGCATAATTCCCAGAAGGCTCCCTGGGTACGTATTCCAGGCTCTTTAAGCTTGATTAGAGACAATCGAGATTTGAGCATCTCTGCGGCTTGTGCGACTATCAAGCATTTCTGAATGAGTATTTGCCAAAATTGTTTCGGTTGCTCTGGATTCGACTGCTGACAACTAGTTTTCATCGCAGCAAAAAAATGATTGTGTACAGATGGTATTGCTCTTATCGTCATCTCTGAAGATTGCTGTAGTCTTAAAAATATTTTCTCAAAAACTCTGTCGTCTTCTGTGAACCCTCCACTACGAGTTAAGGTCGATACATTACTATTTGACCCAAATGAATCTACGGAACATGGGGTAGAGCTGGAAAAGGTTGCAGATCTTCCACCGCCATTCAAAAAAGGCGGAAGTTGAGCAGGTGTAGCCTGAAGATTGCTTGAATTCTGGATCATTGTAGCACTTCTCGCTCGTGACCCTGCTACTTGTCCACGTCGGGTTGGAACTATAGATCCATCTCTTGAGTGAATTCTGACACTATCTTTTTCTTGTTTACTGACAGCTATAGACCCAGTATTTTGGCTGGTTTGTCTTACTTGAAGAAAGCTCTTGTGAGCAGCATTTATTTCACATGTACTCCCGAATAAAAGAAGGAGGAGTGTTCGAACATAGCGAGGATCACCATGCTCAACTAATGTATCTAGATTTCTCTGAAGTAGATTAAGAACATGTATATAAGCATTTACACATGTGACACATGCATGTCGGACATTTTCACTGGAGCGAGTGCATGTCTCTTCCTCCCCTTCAATTGGCGTCGTAAAATCCTGGATAGTCTTATCAAGTTCTTCTACATGAGTTGTGGCGTTATAGAGTACCCTCTCAAGGCTTGAACGCTTGCTGTTTGTATCTCGGGAGACTCCAAGTAAACTCTGTATCAGCGGGTGAACCTGGAAAAGGGCATATAAGATGCTCTTCGCAGCTTCAACATTAGGGTCAGGCGAGATTGACTTCCGTTTGCACTCCGGTAGACTAGTCAATCGCCGTACAACTGTCCCTCTTTGTATATATAATTCAGCTGGGCTAGCTGGACTTTTGAATGTTGAGAGTCCACTCGAGAGATTACCTATAATTGCAGATCCATGACTCAGGCCTCTATAGTGACTATAGCGATTTGGTTTTGCCTCATCGACGGTATCTAAGCCAGAACTCTTGCGTGATACAAACCCCATGCCCATTCGTCTAAACTGGTTGGAGAGACGTTGTTCACGTAGTGATTGCGAGAGACCTTCGCTGTTGCTGCGAACTCTTTCATTAGTACTCCCAATTGTTAAGGGCATAACGCCTGGCCGTCTCTGTGATGCATTTTGCTGGGAAAGTCCTCTGTAATGGGATCTGGAAGGTATGGGAGGAGGCCGTGTTAGGGCTGGCGAGCGTACATCGGGTACATCTGTGCCATTCACTTTGATAGGAAATCTTCCGCTTACAGCTCGCTTGATTGGTCGTTGAATCTCAATGCCCTCGCTGAAATCTTCCGTACCGAATTCCATTTCCGAACGATCCGCAATTTGTTTCTGTTTTAAGAATCGTTTAATATGGAGAGTGATCATTGGTTCGTCAGGCTCGTTTTCCTGAGAATACCCATTCGTGGGACTTATGATTTGAGGTTGTAATACCTCCTTTGGTGGAAATTGAATGGGATTTCCATCAAGCTTGAGGACTTGCAGCGATGACATGTCTGCAATACAGAGTGGCAGAGTTTCAACTCGATTTTTTTGCACAGAGAACACTTTGAGGGACGTGAGCTTTACAATTTCGAGAGGAAGAATTTTTAACTTGTTCCTGCTAAAGTCTAAGATTTCAAGTGACGCTAAGTCGCATATCTACGGGAACAATTATTAACCGGCAAGCTTGAGATATCATGGAAAGAGAATTTACATACAGATTGTGGGAACTCGCGGAGATTATTATTCCGAACATTGAGATATCTGAGCGATTTGCACTCTGAAAATCTGGAAGGGAAGGCAGATATCATGTTGTGAGATAAGGCAAGCCTTAACAGAATTTTGTCAGCGACATTTTCAAGTATTAACAAACCGCCTGATCTTTATTTACCTTTCGAGTTCATTTTTGATTATATCTACGACCTCCTCGGGGAATCGTTGAATTTGTTTATGGCTAAGGTCAATGGTAACACCTGGCTTTAGCTCATTACTGACACCCCTAGCTTCGGCTGCTTTGGTCTGATTCTCTTCAAGGGCATTTCTCATAGCCTCTCGAGCAAGAGCTATAAACTGATTTGCAGATATGGGTGTCATTGAAAGAGAGGAGTTAGACGTCATTGGTCGTATATTTGTTGGATTTCTTCGACTAGTAGCTTGAGGCGTGGTTCGAGGGTAAGAATTATCAAGCTTTGGCCTTCCTGTAGATAGAGTTGCGAGCCCTGCGGCACCAGAGGGTCGCTCCATCTAGAATAAATTTCTGAAGTACCAGAATGAGTGAATAATCTCTTCCAGATTCAAGTCAGGACAAAATTGTCGCTGTTTCAACATGAGATCATCGGGGCGCCGAATGGGATCATGAATCGTTTGTTGCGTTTCCAAAATTCGGAGAGCTACATGTGAGAACGACGAGTGAGGTTTGTAGTTGTTATGGTTTACGATAATCATGGGCTTCGTACAGATGGCTAGCTCAGGCGGTAATGCTGTGAAAGCCTCTTGATCTATAACTAGCAACTTCGATTGGGCCGAAGGTTCAGAACGACATGGTGGAGGCTCCCGTCTAACCCACACCTTGCTTACTACTGCCATTGTTTCTTATTATCCATAACCTAGCTAGCGCTTTACACTAATTGTAGTGACAGACCCTACAAGCCCTAGCGAAACGGGTCTTCCAAGGAACACAGACAAGTCGCCATACTAGCCAATGAAAAGGCCTGCGATTATCCACACTCCTTCAGGCTAAAGCCGTGCATACATTTACTTCATATGAAACTTAACTCTGCTAACAGAATACAGACGCCGCCTTAACCGAGAAAATGAAGTGCAAATATTTCAATGGGATCAGAGACTTTCACCTTACGAGTGACGTCTACATAACCCTTGGCTATTTTAGCTTCATATTTTGTACTGACAGCCAAGTCAGTACTGATCACTAGCTTCATAAAAACCCCCTGTTGATCCTTGAACATTGCTTTGATCGTTGAAATTATCTTGAGGCGATCGGTAGGCTCCGGTTTGGTGTCTCGCTCAGTGATTATCAAGACTTAACAATTAAAAAAGCCAGGTCTCGATGGTTTCATCAAATTCGTCTGCCGTGAAGATTCTCAGGATGATTCCGCCGGATCATAACCGTCTCAACAGCAATGCAGAGTTTTGGGATTACTGTTGTTAAACAATGTCCTCAATATCATTTATTGCATTGAGATTCAACCCATCAGTTGGGGTTGAGACTTACTATCACGATGGAATGAATCCTGCGTAGTGACAAGCTGTTGTAGAGATCATAGTGTACGCTTCCGAATAGGTAAATTAGTGTACTATTTCGACCATCGTACAATGGTCACTTGAAATCTCGATACCTGCCAACTTGATTTTGAGGACTATCCTATCTGTATCCCAAGCTCACATTTTATAAACTATGAACCTTGCAATAGATCTAGCGCAGCTGCTTTTCCCGGAGCAAGTCGGGTCTAGTATCTTCCTCTATACCCACAAGTTTGATTCACAGCAAGTAATTTCGCAACCTATTTTGAATCTCATGGTATCGTGCAAGACGAGGATAGGTCATCATGGGTGTCGATCTTGAGCGATTAGGTTCGGATTCCCATAAAAATCTTGATCAATTGTGAGATTAGATGTGAAGCTAGGATAGGATGGAGATGCGGAGAAAAAGTGTGATCTTCACATAGCGAGGTGGTGATCGCTGCGTCTACCAGAAGCAAGGTTGGGATGCAGCAATTGATGCTAGATAGCCATAGACTCAAGTAGCACAAGAAACACACACATTTACAGCAATTGAAGGATCCCTTAACCGCCAAACTCGTCGTAGCTTTACCTCTCAAGATTCAATTAATTAACCTAATTCAATCTAGCTCCACTTGAGGTAAAATATTTATGAAGCAGTAGATGGGGACTATCAAACAAATCTGTTAACCCAAGACATAAGCAATTTGATGTAACATCTCACGTACTTTTGTGGGATCAGCGGCGCCTAAAATCTCCTAGTACACCTAAGGTGTGGATGACATGTCAAAATTAGCTTATTATCTTTCTTAACCTTTATTACACATGCCCGAAGATAATGACTAAAAAGGATTTAATCGGCAAGAACTTACGAATTATATGAAGTTTGGTTGAGAAATATCATATAATTTGGTAGACGATCTAGTACATTGCATTCCTTCAAGTGATGCGCAGATAAAAGTACAAAACAGACTGATAGCCGAATCCCAAGATTTACAAATGAAACCCTCAGCACAACTCTAGCTGATTAGCGTGGCTATCACAGAAAATTTACAGGTACTCGTACGAAATTTATATAGATTAACTGTGGTAAAATTTTGAGGGCAGATGTTTAGATATTTTCATTTAGCTGGGCATAAGATACGATGGATATCGACAGAGCCAGAAACGGAGTGGACTACACATTGTCCGAATCAAAGATGAAAGATTCAGGCGTATTCTAGTCTCGTGAACCCAAGATAAGCTTTTCGAAAAAATTGATGGGATGCTGTCGACCGAAGATAGAAGTATACAATTCTCGTCGCATCGCTTCCCATCATCGGCCCGAGCCGGCCGCAATGATGTCCTGCAAATTTACGGGCCTGCAGCCAGGATTGCTGCGGTGGTCCGAGACATAGTCGTCTACAGGGGATTGCGGGACTACTCCTGCTTCGGGGAGACGGTCGGTACTGAGATCAGCGATGCATAATTGTCGATCTACTCGCTATTTGCATTAGTTGCCGTACGTGCTGTCAAACTCGTAAATAATCTCTACTTGTAACCAGCGAAGAAAGATAAGGTGAGAAGGAAATAGCACTGTTGGACAAATTTTGGTAGAATATTTTCTAAGTTATACATGAAATATGAAGCAGAAGTCGTACGTCTTTGATTATAGACCTTTATGTTTTGAGATGGGACGTTTTGTCAATGAGTCGCCACAGCGCGAATAAGCCCATAGGTTATGTAAGAAAAGAAAGTTTAAATTGAAAATTTCCGAAGCATCTATGCCGATATCTTGAGCCTGTGATTTTGAACTGGTCCGGCAAAAAGCTGATCATAAGTTCCATTTTCCATGATGTTCCTATCTCTGTTTACCGCGTAATGATCCGCCAGACGCTCTATGTCTAGGGAAATAGTTCCATTCTGAGCTAGTACCTTTCTGTAGTACAATTCAAATCCATTCGCCTCATCATCAACCCCCTGCAACTTGAATTCTTGCTCTGTTTCCCCAAAAGATCTTGCGGAGCTAGTCGAATTTTTCGAAAAGTATCGTGCGGCGCCTTTCTGCGTCGTATCTAACTGCGTTGAAGAGAGACTATCGGATAAACTTTTTTCACTTGAATTATGGAAGAAGGCCTCAATACCAGTAGGGTAAAGTGTACTACCTTCAGTGTAGATGGATAGACCTCGGTTGACGACAGCATCAAGGGAGTAATTGCCATCACTCAATACTTTTGAAGTTGTATTAGTCCACAATGGATATGAATAGATTGTCTTGTACGAAAAAGCCCCTCTGGATTCATCTACACCACTAGTTGTCTGATTGGTGATTTGAATTGCTCCCTGCGCTTCATAATGACCGTAGTTTGAGGTTGATAAGTTTTGAGACCAGTTTGCCTGGTAACTTCCACCAGTAGTCTCAATAGTAGAAGTTATAGACAGTGATCGTTGCACGTTAGCAGTATACGTAATAGTTTCGTTAGCCCCAGTGGAATTTTGGGAGATACTATGAGAGATATAGATAAGCGGATCAGGGAGATTGATCTCTGGTTGGGTTCCAGTAGTGATAGCAGCTGAGTCAGAATCTAACCATATAAAGACCTTGCCGGTCACTACCCAATTGTCTCCGACAGATTCTGTTAACTTTCCAGTTACATCATTTTGGTATTGCTGAATTCCAGCAACACGGATTTCAAAAGTATGTGAGTTTCCATCTAAAATAACACCCAACCATGGTGTAATGTCTATTTGGTGTTCGCGCAGATCATAGGTATCAATCCCAACAATAGGTCGCCACAGCCCTGGTACGACACCGCCAGTGAATATAACAGGAAATGGCCAATAAACTCCAGCAAGTTTTCCGTCTATTAAGAGCTGAACTTCCCGGAATGGCGAGAACCCATTTAGCGTCATATCATCGATATCAAATGTATGAATGTCAGATTGTAAAACGTTGCCCCACCAGAATTCTTCCATTGCTTGGCCACAGGCACCAATGGAGACGACTGCACGATTTGTATTTTTTGGTAGAGAAATGGAGTTAACTGCTGTATCGGATGGTAGAACAAATGCACTAGGAGAATTGATCGAACCTTTGCGAGCCGAAATCGGGATAATTTGAGTAGCCGGTACAACATTTTCAGAGGTAGTGAAAAACGTTGCAATTAATGTTGTGTTGAATGGACCGGTGTATACATCATTAATAACGTTTCCAAGGTCAAAAATTATTTTTTGATGCTTGCTCCAGAGCGATAAGTAAGCAGTCATATCTTTGGTATACTCGAAGATGATACCATTAGTGGTTGGCTCGGCCGTTGATGTTCTCCAAATCTCCGTATCGTTGAAGTACATTACAGCAAGACGATCAAACTGACGGCCGCGACTAGTAGCAGTAAAGTTCATGATGACTCGATTGAATTTACAAGAGGGAGGCGTATAATCTCCTATATAAGAGGGTAAGAAAATGAAATTACAGTGGGTGACAGTTGCTCATACCAACAAAAGGTGATCCGTAACTGTTTCCGAAAGAATGGTTCATTAATACAACTTGGCAAGAGTTGAATGAGGTTTGAAGTGAGCCATCAGTGATATCTAAGCCCTCGTTGGCTGCATAAGGAGCAGTTACGGGCATATATACTTGGAACACATTAAGTGGAGCCTTCTCTGTACTCAGGCTTGATTTCACTAATTCCTCGGGGGCTAGAAGTTGACGTTCCTCAATCTGCCGATATGAAGCTATCGAAAGAAGATCACTGGTAGGCCAAAATAGACATCCAAGAAGCGCTGATAATGCGAGGATAAAACAAATGGGATTTCGGGGTCTGTTTTCCAGCCAATGGTATGCGTTCTTGAATTTTTTGCTTGCTGAAGTGGGGCTCGAGCCTCGCCGAAGATTGGTGTCTTTCAGATCTTCCCAACGCGTTTGACTTGAGTTTTTACCATAGGCTTGCGAACCTGAAGATTGCACGGTAGATGCCATTAAATTAGTAATTATTAACTTGCTGTTGACTTGGAGTCGGATTAAACAATGGAATGGACAAGCTCCGCGCCGGCTTAAGTAGATGGCTAAGCTCCGTTGGTTAGGCTTGGACTGTCCCAGAAGCGTTTCCTTGCGTCAATGGCAATCTGCTGGCCTTGGAACCGACTCTGAAAGTAGTTGAAAATAGCAAATTCGTCACGACTCATGACATATGAGTTTGGGTTACTCTGTATTTTGGTCCAGATGATGTGGAGGGCGGATTCCAGAAAGTCAACGACGGCGTTGTCTTGGGCGCAGTCAGCACAGTTTCTTGCTCTTTCTAAGGCTTCGGAGACCGAAGTGACAGTTGGATGGGAGTGCTGTCCTGCTATCGTAATGTTATTGTCTGCCATAACGGTCATAAGAAATGAAAGCGTCGATTTGCGCTGAACGGTCTCGCACGCTGCCAGGTTCTCAAGAACTAGGAGACGCAAGAAGGCATGGTCTGAATTTATTCCGAGCATGATTATAGGGGTGGCGCTGTATAGATTTGAATTCGCGTTACTTCAGATCACTGCGATGCGTGACTTCTGAGCGAGGTAGATGGAAGAGGAATAGGAGGGTGGTATGAACGAGGTGCGTCGGACAGCCAGTAGTGCAATGTGGAAAGATTAATGCCGAGGGAATTTAATAAGAGATGCAGAGGAAAATGGTTGGATCGGGTAACGGGTCTTGACAGAAGAACCAAATACATCATGACGGTGGAAATTTCTTTCTATTTGTTTTTCCGGACAATCTCGTAGTTGGTGGTAGTACACGGGCTAACAGGATAAGATGACAACTCACTGACAAGTATAATGCAGACAACCCTGAGTTTATTTGGTTTGTAGCAGACGTAGGTTTTTACCTCCTATCCCTCTGTAGCAAGTTTGATCCTGACTGATGAGTCAACTGAGTAGACCTAACATCTCACGTTGGTGCAACGCTCCATAAGCTGGAAGAACTGAGTAGGGGGTGTCATCCGTCGGAAGTGAGACGCAGTAAAGCCGATCTAAGAAACTAGGAACACAGTTTGGCGTATTGCACGTCGTGGAAAGGGGATACGAAGGTATGACTCTGAGGCAGCGCGGATAACGAGAAAAAGTTAGATGTCGATGAGATGTTTGCGATGGGGTAAAGGGGACGGGAGAGCTTGCCGCAGCATGGAATCAGGCCGGTGGACAATGTCCGACGCTAGTTTTCGCACGGGCAATGTCCTGACCCGAAAACTATCAGCCCTCTCTGGATGTCAAGAGAACAGAGAAATTGAGTTTTGCTCGTGTCAGGCGTGCACGCTGCGTGCTGCACCTCGTCCACAAATCATTTCTTACTTCGGTTGGGATTCAGATTTCAAATAGAGCACTGGCTAGCCTCATCTTATTGACTTAAGGGAATGGCTACGAGGAGAATTTCGAAAGTCAAGCATGATATCCTGAAGATCGGCAGCTAACCGATACCGTTGCTGGTCCCTAGAACTGGGCTTGTATCAAGGGGGGTGATTAATAACTAGCTCCAGCGACAGGACATAACGTTACAGTTCTACAGCTTGTTTACACCAACAAGCTAGCCGGCATGATGAAGCAATGGAAGAACGGAGAGCTTCCTTGAGGGTTCACCAGGGCCCAGATAGGGCTGGCTCTCCACCTTGCTCGAGGTGGACTAATCTCAGTGTATAACTTGGATCGAATAGCCATTCCCCTGGAAAATGAGGAAACGATAGCTGCTACGCCATGACTAACTTTCTCCAGGTTGTTGCTGAAGGATGTGGTTCTCTGGAAGGGCCTTGCCATGACTAAGTAACCTCGTGCTGGCTAATGCTGTATACTTGCACAGAACAAGTCGTTGAAATGTGGGGATGTTTGTAAGTCGTCTGCTACAAATTTGACGTGAAAAGCTTTAACCACTATCCTAGACTTCAGGTCTACCTGTGTCACTATGGCCACAGCGGAGCGTGAATCTTGGATTATCTTACTGGGCCCCTTGAAGTGGCTGGTACGGTGCGAATCGGAATAATTGCCAGAGCCCCGGAATGGTGGGCAGGTTGGCGAAGATGCGATGAAAGGTCCCCTCCATATGCTACCCGCGAGTCCAATCTAAATCGAAACCTGTTCCCGTGGATACGGGTCCCAGGAAGGAATGTTTCGGCAGTCGTACGCTACCGAAGGCCCTGAGCGGCTCCCTGCCGCCGATCTTCAATTTGATCCAAGACGCAGCGCCCGCTCCTACAGATTTCTCATCCACAGCCATCCGATTCAAACCCAGCACGGAAGCAAAGGGCTAGTGGAGATTGAATGTTCCACCCTCCCTGAGTAGATCTAGGCTCTCTTTGACTCACACATCGAGCTGGTCTGTGCACATATTCAATCTGCAGTCAGTCCACACCTTGCTCAAGAAGAGCTTCATCCAGAATATGGACACTAGTTCGGCAAAGGTCCTTTCATACCAAGTCACACTATCACAAACACGCAGGTTGGAATTACCGCGTGTGTCCAGCTACAGTTGATGTGCGATTGAGTAATACCCAACCCATGATCGATGGAGGAAACTGTTAAAGTTATAACGCTAGGACGATCATGGTTAAGATCTGAGGTCGTACTTCATTTTTTGTTTTTCTTTGATTTTGCTCGGCAAGCATCGCAGAATATAATTTTGTATAATATGGCTTATCTTAGTCTTCCATGTGTTCATTACGGCTCACATTCGAAATTCCTACCTCTCAAAATCCACCAACTACAGAGCAGTCTGGGGTAATCCTTTGTCGCATTCCATTTCCGCCCAATGAAATGAAAACTACTTGCAGGTATGCGGCCTATCGTGGAAATCTTCAAGACTACTGAGTGCGGGGATTTCTTAACATCGACATTATGACTAGTTCCGCAGAAAGAACTATCTTACTGAAGCATTTGGAATGACTTTCTAGGATGGTGACGAGTAATCGTGAGGAACGATGAACTGAGTTTATGGTCTAATTATTAGTCTACTAACTACTGCTTTTATTCGCAACCTAGAGAGAATAAAGGTTATATTGACTTTCAGAAAATTCACATTAGACATAGCATGCTGTAAAATAGTTTGGCACTATGACAGCCCCGTACTGGGAATGATCGAGGGACCTTTGACACTTGAGCACGAGCTGTAATATTACTGTGCAAGTTTCTCATGCAACAAATCTCAGTTTATCCTTTATCCGCAGATTTGGATCCCGCGAATCATACCCATCGAGCGGGTACCTCTGTAGTAGCTGATGTAACAAATTCTTTGCGACACTCGAGTCATACGTAACCGACTTCTTGGCGCCGCCTGGGCTATGGAGGACTGACCGAGGCACAACGGTGAAAGAAGGCTTTCTGCCTAGTGAAAAGCTCCATTTTAGCACTGAAAACTCTCAGACCGTGGATGACGGTTCGGAGGGGAAATCGGTATCAGGTGTCGAGTGTTAGTTCCTCAATCGAGGAGAGATCTTTTTAATCCTTAAAGTACCATGCGTCTGCTCTTCACCCAATGGTCTAGACACATTCAAGGAACCTGTACATGTTGGTATTCGATAGAACCCTCATGTAACAGGTCCCACTCGCCACTTCCACTAGCTTGGTCAACAGGGACGCGCACCCCTGCCTCAATCGTAAATATCCGACCGAGGAAAATTCGACGAAACCTTATTCATCTTAGTATGCTAAACCAGATATATGTTGTATCATTATTGCCCCTAATCTCTTTAGCTTTAAATGCTGATGTGTGGTCGTTCAATGATTAAGTGGAGGGGCCAACAAGATTCGAGCCAGCGGTCACATTGCCTTGAGGAGAACGGCTTTACAAGCTACTCGTACCCTGCTTGGGAGGCCAGCCGAGGCTACTTGTCGATAAGTAAATCCGACCTACTCGGAGATGATGTCGTCAACTGTGCAAAATGTGTTTAGACTTTATGCAAAGTCAACGTCGGCTCTTCTCCCTTCTAATCACACTGAAAATAGTATAGAGCGGAAAGAAGTATTGAGTCAGGTGAAGGGCCGCAGCTTTTGTGATAGCATGTCAGCAGCATTGGTTGGCTCAGTGTATTTGGGAAATAACCACGTGATATCATGCTTCATTCTGGATGAGTTGTGCAGGAGCGGGAGCCGAGATGCGCAATCCCGCGCATATATTATTACTTGAATTAATGATCTTTTCTCAGTCAACGACTAGATGGGAATGAAAACGTGTGTAGGTATACGTGTGTTTATGCCACACCTGCGCAGACTGGTGCCATCAGAAGTTCAACCTGCACATTCTGTAGCACCGGTATGGAAATCCCTAATGCTTGTCGATCTGTCACCCGCGAAGCATCTTTCCACGACCAGCACTGCCATGCAACTTTTTAAGACAGGAACAGCACGGTCGGATCTACTCATGTTGGTTTCTACTGCTCTATCTTTGCACATCCCCTGGGTGTGGTTTATTGTCACACTTGAGTCTATAAATATCTAGCACATTGGGCTCCTCTCTGACCCAGGCCACACCTTGTACAGTGCTCCTTTCCTCTTTTGTTACTTCAAAAATCATTGACATATTGCCCGTGATGAATAGCCAGTCAGCTCAGTGTTTAGCCGTGGGATTTAGCCACCTTTTCCACCGAACCTTCTACTCAAAAAAATTAAAACAATAGAAATGTAAACTGCGTGCGCGGGAAAAAGTCTCAAAAACCCTGCAGCCCCAGCTAGACGAGGCCTAGACACCGGGACCACGTGAGGTGCACGTATCCATATTTATCCCCTTTCTTTGTAGCATTCGAGGTCAACTTGATCCAATCCGCCATCGCTGTATCGGATGCCGGGTACGCTCTGGAAACTCATTGGATGGCTTTTCATCCATAACCAAGGGTTGGTGATATGAAGGGCTTCGACCCTAACATCTGATCTGATTGTGGTTAGCTTCATGATAATGGCGATAGGGGGGTTATGCTGAAGGATGAAGATGATATAGACCGCCAAAGGGCTTGGAATAATTCATAAAAGTGAGCTCGGTGGTACCCGATCTCGGCTCTGCGGCATCTACAGGGAGAGCTGGAGGTTCGTTTCCCCCCACTCGCTGTTACTAGTGCTAAATTTTGGAATTTCACGCCACAATAAACATACTGAGTCTGAAATTAGAAGTAGATAAGACCATTTTATCTCTTTACTTAATACATCTAGCTATTGAAGAATATAGCAATATCCCTGATCTAGTACCAACACTGTACCAAACAAATGAGAGGATGTCATGATGATCATGTTCGAAATAGAGAGATCGAATTATCGGCTCAATAGCCTCGACGCAATCCCATTTGATCTGCTTTTGTTTAACCCGATGTGACGTCCTGTGGTCCCATGAAAACGAAATCCCATTATTTTCTCCAATCATTGGGATTAGATGTGGATAGCGTCTATGTCTATTATAATTGGTTTCACGCGCAGCTGTCGCATTTTGTCTCAGTGCGGGAATTTCTCTTTCTCCCCCGGACCAAAATCCG